AAAACTAAAATAATCTCCTAATTAATTACGTCACTTAAATGGGAAAAACCCTTACGCCACCGCGCGAAAAAGGGGTGTGACATCTCTGGCGACTCCGCAGGGGAGTAGTATTCGAGCTTGTAAACATGGACTTCTACATGACTTTATTATGTATTTACATACTTATCAATTTGTCAATATTGTGTTTAATTGCATAATATGTTATTTGTTTGCTTATTTACCCTTTTGATAATATGTTAATTATCATATAATTGTCTTTCCTCACGCATCCATCTGAGTCTTCTGAGATACTTTATACGGAGATACGATTACACTCCCGAGCCATGAGATACCAGAGATGCGGCAACGCTCCTGGGAAGGATTCTATAGTAACACATGTCTTAGGATGGGAAGGACTAACAGTGAGGCCAGAAAGTCCTGCTACTAGTAAGTTGTCCCTTCTCGACTCGAGTAGTCTGCTCGTTTTATGGCCAGTCTAGACACCTTCCCTATTAGATTTTTTACCTAGTAAAACAAGCCTCAACAATGACTTTCCCTAATAGGATTCGATTTATCTGCATCATGCATAATGTTGAATTAATTGGGAGCTCGACACAAGGGTCGAGCCTTTCTAGGAGAAGTATCTCTACTTGAGACTATCATGTACATTATTTTGTGTTATTTGTTGCATTATGGGGAAGACTATACAAATGTTGATCGGCTTTAGATGAATGAATTATAATGAAAAATTAATTATAACGAAAAATACCAAATTAAAGTTTTGACGTAATCCTTTTATTAAACACTGTTTTTTCTATCAAAATTCATATTTCTTTTATAAATAGAAAAATCTATTATTACCATCAAAATTTTTCTATATAAAAAAAAGATTGAAAATTTAATCAACAAAAAATAAAATACAATCGAATATATTAATATTTTTAGTTTTGGAAAAATTTTAAGGGCTATTTATATATATATTATTTTTTTTCTCATTCTTCCTTTAATAACTATTTTTTTTTAAAAAAAACGAATAAATAAAAATAAAAATAAAATTGCTTTTTTTTGTGTGTGTGTATGTGTAAGACTCTTTTACTAAAAAAAAATAATAAAAAATTTGCTTTTTTTGTGTGTATGATTTTTACTTATTCTTATTTAAAAAATATATTTTATTATTAAAAGATTACTTTTTTTGTGTGTTTGTTTTTTCCGTTATTCTTGTTAAAAAATATAAATTTTATTAAGCCTAGTTTGTCACTATCATAATATAGGGAAATATGAATTCATATGGAAAGGGAGATAAGAGACAAAGAGAGGACCAATCACCTCGATTCATGATAGTGGATAGGCCCCAACACTCTTGAAGACATGGTATGAAAATATGACAAACCATGGAAGAGGAATGGTGTTCAAACGCTTAGGATTTCTACGAAGCCTTTTGTATGTTGAGCCACGACGGGATTTGATAGAAGCACTAGTGCATTTTTGGGACCTGTTAAGGAATGTATTCCGTTTTTCAGGTTGTGAACTCACCCCACCCTTGAGGAGATAGGGGCATTCATTGGAAAGGGTAAACATCTTCACAAAGAAGAGCCTATGATACCAAAACATGTTAATTGGAGGAGGTTTCTAGAATTACATCATATAAATGAGAATGATATAGGTGGTTGTCTCGATAATGGATGGGTTCCGTTAGAATTTTTGTACAAAAGATATGGCAAAAGTGATGGATTCGAAGTGTATGGAAAGAAACTCCGTAATAATGGGTGTCGTCTGACCTGGGAAGCACACAGTTATGATGCCTTCGTGGTGGCTTTTTTAGGGATCATGGTATTTCCAAAAAAGGGAGGAAAGATTAGCATGAACTTAGCTGCAGTCATTAAAACTTTTGAGAAAAAGCCTAATATCACCCTCGTACCAATGATTCAGGCAAACATCTATCGTGCTTTAACTATTTGCAAGGATGGAAAAGACTACTTTGAGGGATGCAATATATTATTACAACTATGGATGATTGAACACATTCGTCATCACCCTTATGCAGTGGACTTTAAAGTAGAATGGAATGATTATATTGGAGATCACAAAAAAAGAATCAAAGATCATAGTTTTCCGAAGGGTATTGAAGCTTGGAAACAACACCTCAATAATATGATTGCTGACAAGATTGTGTGGAATTATCATTGGTTTCCATCGGCCGAGGTGATATAGATGTCTACTTTTCGATCGTTCATCGTCCTAATGGGTCTTCGAGGTATCCAACCTTACATGCCACTTAGAGTCATGCGACAACTTGGGCGACGCCAGTTTATACCACCCAATGAAGATATGCGTGAATTCATGTATGAGTTTCATCCCAAGATACCTTTAAGGCAATTAGAGATATTTAAGATTTGGGGGGGATGCATACTCTCAAGTCCCCACGATATGGTGAAGGATCGCACTAGAGGCGAGGTGGACCAAGTATACTTAGATTGGGTTCATGATCAGCCCCTTCCTAAGGTTATGCCAGAAAGGTCAATAAAAGGACCTATAGATCAAGAAGCAGAAATTGAAGTTAAGATTAAGCAAGCTCGCCTCAAAGTCGAAAGAAGCTACAAATCTACTCTGGATATCCTAAGTAATGACCTGAAAAACGCTAAAGAGGAGTTGGCCCAACGTGATGCGATATTTGAAGTTAGAGTTAGAAAACGCCGCTCTACCATTCTAACCTTACAAGGAGACTTGGGCATTGCCACAGGCGCTATAGAGCAACAGGAAGAGGAATATAAGAAAGAAAAGGCCCAACTTATTTGCGCACAGTCTAGACTCCAAACTCAAGTTAAAGCCTCTATGGAACGGGAAAGAGAAATAGCAAGGCGTTTTAGTGCTTATCAGACAGACTGTGAGATTGAGAGAGGTCAAAGAATAGCCGAGCGAGATGCACTCCACCTTCAAATTGAAGAACTCCAAGAACAAAGGGAAAATTTGACGCATGAAGTCAATACTGCTCACCACTGGTTGCAGAATTGTTATGACAATATGGATGAAGACAGAGACCGAATACTACAACTCAGGGATGAACTCAACAATGTTTATGCTATATATTTACACTAGAACGATGAGAGGTTGGGCCAACAGGCCCGTGCTTTGGCTCCATATCTACCGAAAGCGTTGACGAAGATTTATAAGGGCCTTGGAGATGATTGAGATTCGAGGATTCAGTTTCTTTTAGAGTCTATTCTCTTAGTAGTGATTATTTCATCATCATTATTATTATTTTTAGTTTTTTCTCATTCTTTTCGTTTTGTTATTTTATTTCATTTAGAGTCTATCTAAGTCCTAGGTACTTTTTTTTTGTTATTTCATTCAAATCATTGTTTCAAATATTTGAAAATGAATGAAAAATATTTACTTTCGGTCACCTTATGTGCATATGTCATGCAAAAAAAAGTAAATTAATTAAAAAAAATTTATTATTAATATCTTTCTCGAACTACGCAAAATCTGATTCATGGGCCAAACATGATACGTAGGCAACCCAGGGGGTTCGATCCAAATTATTATAATTATTATTATTATTATTATAATTATTATTTCTTTTATTTTTTTCATTCTTCTTTCTCTTAAAAAATGATAATCACAATGATAAGAAATAAATAAACAAATAAGTAAATAAATAAATAATAATAATAAAATATTAAAAAAACTAATGAAGAGAAGAATGTCTAGGTAAGCCGGGATGAAACATGAGGTCCTCCATATTAGAGGTATGTATGTGGATACAATGTGTATAATTTATTAATACTAATCGGTTTATTACTCTATTCAGAGAGAGAGAGAGAGAGAAAGAGAGAGAGAGACATACTAGCTTAAAGGTAGTTGGTTTGAGGTTAAACTGGCATCATATCCTTACAACACAAGATCGAAAGAGAAGCAGAAAATGACCCCCAAAGACGGAAATGAATCGGACAATGATGAGGAGATACAAAACCAGATGACTTCACAAGAAATAGGGACAACAGAAGAGATAAGGGCGTTAAAACAACAAATGGCAGAGATGTACGAGGCTTGGATGAGTGAACAACCTCCACCGTCTTCAATCCGAGACTATTTTAATACAAATATGTCTCACCCTATCCAGGTGTCGACAAGCGATCCGATATATCCCCCTGGATTCAAACCCTACGCTAACACATCCAATGTCGCTGGAACTTCTATGGTGCGCCCTTCGAATGCGCCTGTGATAAGTAATCCACTCTTTGTGTCAACTGCCCCGACTAACAGCATCCGCAGCCAACGATGTTGCCCAAATCCAACAGCGATCCTCCGCCCAAAGTTCGGCGTGATCAGAGTTACACTCTTGAAGAGGCCATAAAAATTCCAAGCTCTCATCTCCACATTCATCAATATAGTTCCCCTGTCGAAATTTAGAGGATTGTCAAGAATGAGGAACATGAAGAAATGACTACGAAAATGAAGAGTTTGGACAGAGTATAAGAGATATGCAAGGACTAGGAGGCCACAAAGGCATCTCGTTCAGTGACTTGTGTATGTTTTCTCACGTCCATTTGCCTACTGGTTTTAAAACTCCAAAGTTTGAAAAATATGATGGTCACGGAGACCCCATAGCTCATCTAAAGAGATATTGCAACCAATTGAGGGGTGCAGAGGGCAAAGAAGAGTTACTTATGGCCTATTTTGGGGAAAGCTTAGTAGGGATTGCATGTGAATGGTTCATAGATCAGGATATCACCAACTGGCACACATGGGATGATTTGACTCGATGTTTTGTACAGCAATTCCAATATAATATTGACATTGTTCCAGATCGCTCCTCGTTAGCCAACATGAGAAAAAAGACCACGGAAAATTTTCATGAATATGCTATCAGATGGAGGGAACAATCTGCTAGGGTTAAACCACCGATGAAAGAGTCAGAGATGATTGATGTTTTTCTCTAGGCGCAAGAACCTGATTACTTTCACTATCTGCTTTCTGCCGTAGGGAAGACATTCGCTGAAGTTATTAAGGTAGGGGAAATGGTGGAAAATGGCATAACGTCTGGAAAGATTGTAAGTCAAGCTGCCTTAAAAGCCACAACACAAGTGCTTCAAAATGGTTCTGGAAATATTGGAGGGAAGAAGAGAATGGAGGATGTGGCCGCTATTGTATCAGCGCCTAGAACTCATGTCCAAGGTAATTCCTCACAACACTATTTTCCTTCCCAAGCTCCACAATATTCTGTCCCATACACTCCATATCATGTTTTTAATGCACAACCAATTGCACCCCCTTCTTATCCACAATGGCGTGCACCCACTCCACAAAATCATCCACCATCCTCACAAGTTCATCAAAATACTGCTAGAATTCCTTTCCGTCCTAAACCACAATACAAAAAGGGAAATGGCGTTAAAGATGACTTCACTCCTTTTGGGGAGTCGTATGCTAGCTTGTTCAAAAAATTAAGGACATTGAATGTTTTGAGTCCTATTGAGAGAAAGATGTCGAATCCTCCCCTGAGAAATTTGGATTATTCTCAACATTGCGCATATTGTTCTAATGCCCCAGGGCAAAACATAGAGAGATGTTGGTATTTGAAAAGGGCCATTCAGGATTTGATCGATTCTAACCGAATTATAGTTGAAAGTCTGAGTGGACCCAACATCAATCAAAATTCATTGCCGAGGCATACTGAAACAAACATGCTGGAAATGATGAAGGGTCATGAAGAGTTTGCATCGCCGTATAAGCCAATCCTTAGAGTTGGAACTGGCATTGAGAAGTCAGCAAATGTTGTTGATCTAAAAAAAATGATGCCTTTAGGGGCGGAAAATGTGTTAGAAAAGTTGAGTCCATCAAACACACCCATCTTAACTGTGAAAGGAGCCCTTGAAGATGTTTGGGCAAGCCCGAGTAAGGCAAAATCGTTTGTTCCAAAAGGGCCAAACAAGCCTATCTTGATCGTGCGAGGGGCCCATATTCCTCCTGTGATTATCAGGCCAGTACCCCAGCTCCCAATGACAAACCCCAAAGCTGCTCCTTGGAATTATGAGCCTACTTCCGTGACATACAAGGGAAAAGAAATAGATGAAGAAATAGATGAAGTGGGAGGAATAACCCATTCAGGAAGATGTTATGTCCCGATGGAATTAAGGAAAACAAAAAATGACCAAATACAAATAAAGAGTCCGGTCACTGAAGGAGAGGCAGAGGAATTCCTAAGGAAGATGAAACTATCAGACTACTCCGTGGTGGAACAATTAAGAAAAACTCCAGCCCAAATCTCTTTGTTGTCTTTGCTAATACATTTTGATGAACATCGTAAGGCTGTAATGAAAATTTTTAATGAAGCACATGTTCCTAGTAAAGTTACAGTGAGTCAGTTAGAGAAGATTGTTGGGAGAATATTTAAGGTAAACCGCATCACCTTTTCAGATGATGAACTACCCAAAGAAGGTACAGGACATAACCAAGGCCTACATATCACTGTAAAGTGTGAGCTTTCATATGTCACTCGAGTTCTAATTGATGGAGAATATAGAGCAAATATTTGTCCTTTATCAACTCTACAAAAATTGAATGTTAGTGCTGAAAGGGTCTGACCCAACAATGTATGTGTTAGAGCTTTTGATGGGTCAAAAACAGATGTTATTGGTGAGATAGAGCTCGTACTAACCATAGGGCCTGTGGATTTAGCTGTGAATTTTCAAGTGTTGGATATCAATGCGTCCTACAATCTATTGTTGGGGAGGCCATGGGTGCATAAGGCTGGAGTCGTCCCCTCAACGTCGCATCAAATGATTAAGTTTGAATATGACCGACAAGAGGTAATTGTCCATGTTGAGGGGGATCTGTCAATCTACAAAGACTCTTCCTTCCCTTTTATCAAGGCGGATAATGAGAATGAGGCACTAGTTTATCAAGCTTCTAAGGTAGTGGTTATTGAGCATGTACCCGTGGGGAGTGTCATTTCAAAACCAAATATGCCCATCGCATCTGTAATGGTGGTGAATGAACTGCTGAAACATGGGGTTGAGCCGGGTAAAGGCTTAGGAATCTGCTTGCAAGGAAGAGTCTATCCTGTGAGTCTACGAAAGAGCATCGGTACTTTTGGCTTAGGCTACCAACCTAGAGTCGAGGAAAAAATGAAGGCAAAGAAGCATAAGAGAGATGTATGGTCACTTACCAAGCCTATACAACCAATCTACAAATCTTTCATCAAAGCCCGCGCAATAGAATCTTATCAATCATCTTTTCCAGAGCCAGTGATGAAAGTTAGCGAAGAAATGATAAACTATTTTCAAGATTTATTTGTCGAGGTTGATATGGTGGAACTCGAAGAAGGCACTAGCGACAACGATATGCAATTCATTGGTCTTGATGTCAATCTAAACAATTGGTAGGCCACCCTCTCCCTGTTAAAGACGAGTCTTGGTAGTCTGTCTTGTTTTTTCTTTTGTCATCCGATTCATTCAAGGATTGTAATTCGGATTTTATCTTTTCGTTTGATTTCAAACATTCTATTTCCCTTTTCAATAGGATGTAATTGCATCTTTATTTCAGTCTAATATATTTGTTCGTTTTCTTTTATACAGTTCTTTCTATGCCGATTCTAGTGATATGACATGCATGCAGAATTTTTTGCCAGATCCTAATATCCAATCTAATCTTCGACCTAATACTGAAATAATAAGTGAAGAAATCGAATATGATGAAGACGGAGTGTTTGAAGAAGTAAGGAGGGATTTCAATCATTTTGAAAATAAGTCAAATCCAAACATGAGTGAAACTGAGACGATAAATTTGGGGGGTCATGAAATTATTAAGGAGCTAAGATAAGTGTACATGTTCGACATCAAAAGGAAGATATAATCCAGGCCCTGTTTGATTACAAAGATGTTTTTGCGTCATCTTATGATGACATGCTTGGATTAAGCACTGACATGGTTGTTCACAAGTTGCCAATTGATCCTAGTTTTCCTCCGATAAAGCAGAAATTGAGAAAACTCAAAACCGACATGAGTGTAATAATTAAAGAGGAGATCACAAAACAACTTGAGGCCAAAGTCATTCAAGTCTCTCAATATCCTTCTTGGTTAGCCAATATCGTACCCGTCCCTAAGAAAGACGGCAAAGTTCGAATGTGTGTTGATTATCGTGATTTGAATAAGGCAAGTCCAAAAGATGATTTTCCTTAGCCTAACATCCATATTTTATTGGATAATTGTGCTAAACATGAGGTTGCATCTTTTGTTGATTGTTATGCAGGCTACCATCAGATTATTATGGATGATGAAGATGCCGAAAAAACATTTTTTATCACCTCATGGGGTACATATTGTTATCGTGTTATGCCTTTTGGATTAGAAAATGCAGGGGCAACTTATATGAGAGCAATGACAACCATGTTTCACGATATGATGCATAGAGAAATCAAAGTTTATGTGGATGATGTTATCATCAAATCTAAAAAATAGTCAGATCATGTGAAAGACTTAAAG